AGTACTTTTTCACACCATCGATAGAACTGTACAAAAAATCAAAATTATTCAACCTAAATCAAACATATATTTTAACACATGTATTTTAATAAATAGATACTATCTAAAAGTATTCATTCAAACATAACATTTACACAAAAATCAAACAAGCATAATTTAAGAAACAGACATAAACTTGAGTTACCTAAAGTCGAAACCTTAAATTATGGACACAAAAATATATGTTTTGATGGAGTAAAACTATATAATGATTTGCCAAACTACATAAAGGAATGTGAATGTTTAAATGCTTTTAAAAGTAAACTTAAAATATATGTATATATATGACGGAGTATGCACAATACGTTGTGTAAAGTGCCTTATTTTGGGAAAACTAGTTGATATTTTGGTTTCATTTCTTTCATGTTTGTATTTAAATGTTTTCGTTTATTTGAGTGATTATATTTGGTTGATAAAGGTTAAGAATTTGAAGAGAAGATACTCAATTCATTTGACAATACATTGACGATATGTCGTTTGAACTATGTAATTTTGTGAAAGCTGTTTGTTTGTTTGATAAAGATTATTTTAAGTTTTTAAGTGTATTCCTTATTTCTTTTAATTTGTTTGATTGTATTTAGTTGATTAATATTGTGAATGTAATTTAAAAAGTAACTCAATTTATTATAAAGAGCCGACGCTAACGTCAGTTAGATTGTCGAGTGGGGTTGCGAGAGGCGCCAACTTCATAGTAGTGAGCAAGCATATAAACTGCAGCAGTCACACTGCAAGGGCAGTGCTCATTTGGACGTAGTGTTGGACGCACCCTCGGAAATCCACGTGGCTCGATTTCATGTGTTAATCAAAAAGCAAGAAGTGAAGTAAAGTGAAGTGAAGTGACTTTAAAGTGTTGTGAAGTGTTTTGTGAAGTGTTAGTGGTTAGATATCAAATAAGAGTGACTTACAAGACCCTAATGGACTCGGCGATCCGACATATATATATTTGACAATATTAAGTAGTACTAGCCGTTCCATGTATCAAATATTAATGTATGTGTGTAACATTATTTAATCTGATGTAAGTGAACCTATGTATGTTCTTATGAGAATAAAGATCTTTAACCATAAACTATCTGCATCGCTAACTAAAATAATCACAATGGTAAGGAAGCAACAAAAGAAAATTATTGTAATTGCATGGTTGGCCGAAGGACAGTGGGTTCCTGCGCTCATATAGTTACTATTTTATGGTTTTAAGTTGGGCAAGGTGTCAGGAATACATTTCACCACCTGCCCAATTTCTTGAACACATTAATAACATATGATGTCTCAGAATAAAAATAAATCATAAAAAATGTTGTTTTATTTTGCTTTAACCTGTTTTTTCTCACATGACAAATATCTCTTTTTAAACATATTGATACAAAATTAAGTTCATATTCTCAATATTACTAGTTAGTGCTTTTAAACTAATTACAAAAAATATGATAAAATATCTGTTCACGTCAGGCCCAAGTCCCCATACTAAGTGGACAATCTCCTTTATCATTTATATAAACAATACAACTTTACTATTATTTATTCACGACACAAGACGCTTATTAAAGGTTAAATTAGTTCAGTAGTCTAAAACACACCTACAGCTTCCTATAATAATGCGTTTGCTCAAAGAGTTAGCCAATATAAGATGAGAGGAGTATGAAGTTGATAACATTTTAATGATACATACAACAACCCCCAGATTTGTTCCCTGCTGTTTAGTTCTGATGCTGACAAGTCTAATGTCCCTTAGTAATAACATCACACTTTACAATAATAATAAATAAAAATTCTTTATTTTCTTTAACAAACTTGTACTTAAATATAAAGTTATAGGAGTCGGAGTCTCCTTTTAAGCATATGAAAAGCCTGTGCCAGGAAACTCCGCTGTTCCATATCACGAATTAGGTACAAGTATACAAGATATTTAAGGGACAACAATAATAAAGAAACAATATAAAAAAGTAATAATAACAGAAGTAATTACCATAAAGGAAGCAAATGTGGGATTAAAATGTATGTGTATGCATGCGTGCGCGTGCGTATTTGTGTTTTGAATATATAACAATTGATTTTATTATATAAATAAGTAAGCAGATCTATTATCATACTGAATCCTAGCGAAGACTGTTTTAGTAGCAGGGATAGATATGACATTATATGCTATACGTTTATTGAGTAACGATGTATCGAATACAATTATATACAATTTCCGTACAGTTAACAAACCACTTTCTTTATAGAGTCTTTCTGTACTGAACCGTTGTTTTTTAAAGAACATTACTTTAATCAATGCTCTTTGAGCTCGTTCTATTTCTATGAATCGTGTTTTACGTGCACCTCCCCAAATAGGTAAGCAGTATGTTATTATGGATTGCACCAAAGCTATATAAATTTGATTTTAAAGATTGTTTGAGGAGTCATTTACAATATTATTAGCTGCAATATGTCTCAGTGATTTGAACATCCACGTGAACTTCCTAATGCGTGCCGCAACATGTTCAATTTGCGGGTACCATGACAAGTTCTGGTCGACCATTATTCCCAAGTATTTTATTAAACTCACTTTATTTATTAATGGACATTTGCAGTTATTACCTCTTACGTTATTACAATTATGAATTTTTATAAGAAAATTTGTTTTGGGTTGTGAACTATTTTTTATACTGAAAGTGATAAAGTTAGTTTTACAAGACCAGCATACTTCCTGTCATGTCGTTGCATGCGCGTGCTTCACCCACGCTCGTCCCTCAACAATAAACAAACTGCAAGTGTTACAAAACAAATTACTACAACGATGTCTTGATGAGGCGCTCTTGGGACGGGCCTACTCCTTAATTACAGACCCGAAGGGCCCGTATATAACGGGTAGGTCCCGTCGGGCCAACCACTCCTCCTAGTGACACTGTCAAGACTCAAGGCCAAAAGTTACAGTGAAGTAGAAACTAAAAAATATAATTATTATTTAAGAAGACATTTACGAAAACAATATCGTTTTAATTATTCTCCTTAAAAGGCCGTTGTGTATTGTAACTAGAGTTTATTATAAAATTAATATAATCGACATCTAGAATATAATCTATCAAACATGATTTCATTAGCAGGTAATATCAGTTTTACTCATAAACTAATCATTTCAAAGTCTTTAAGACATCCATTCAGGACTCCGATCAGCATCTCTTGCTCAGCAATATTGTTGTGCTATAATATTATGCTCCGACTGGGCTTGATTTACATATATACAGAAAAACTAGTTTCATTTAAAAATGTACACATGTGTCTGGCTTGAAACTAAAACCCAAGGTATTTATCTTCGTGTTTAGTATTAGTAATAGAGAAATAGATGCTAAAGCTTAAGATCATCTCTTTTGGTGAGAATATCTAATATATACAAATATCTTATTGTGTTGTTGTCTACGGTATCGTTTACATAAATTTAAAAATTGTGTGTCAGAGACAGGGCTATAACAATGTTGATGAAATGAAATATACTGAGGGGTTTAATATGTTTGTATCTTGTATAGTTATCAATGAACAGTTCTAAAATAAATTAGAATACAAAGAAATTACTTAATATATGGCGTTGTTACCAATCACTTAGCCAATGAATATATAGTTCTGTTTAAATGAAACTAACACTTGGATTTACAACATATTTATTTTGATATTTTACATATTAACAGACGTTTCGGCTTCTCTTTAGTAACAGTAATCACGAACAGACGAGATGAAAAAGTCTGCATTTAGTCTTATTATTACATTATTACAGTTATGAAAGTGGAGCAATTTTCCTTGTAGTCTTTATTTACTAGTTCACCTAACTACATACATATGATAATTAACGATGAAAGAGAAATGACAATTATGATATACCTATTTCTGTACACATACGTGTCTTAAAGACTATAGTGAATTTAAACATCTCAACATCAATGTAAGCTATATACATTTATATTAATTTATTTTACGAAAAATCATATTGCATCTTAAATTTAAATAAACATATTATATTAAATAGAACGTGTAAAACGGATGGATGTTAGTGAGAAGTTCGAAGTGTTTGTACGTGTAAAACTTGCACAAGATTGGTGTTGGTCCTACGCTAGCGTAGCATTCGCTCATCGGATTCTGAAACCCCTTCAGACTCTCTATAACTGCTTCCTATTCACGATCACGGGCGCCCCGTGGTACCACTATCCCAATCCTCTGGTGAAGGAAGTGATGACCTACCTCCCAAATAGATATCATGAGGGTGTCAGGAGACGCCTCGAGCACGTGCTCAGCGATCCGGAACAAGAAATTACGACTAGCAATAAACGATGCGCCGTGCGAGCGGTGCACATTTATAAAAACGGGCCGACCGACCGAACACACATCCGCGGGATGCCTTGTGAAATCCCGACAGAGTCCATTCTTAGTAACCTTAAGTCACAAGAATTTCCGGTCCAGGCAGTACACCGAATGTACCGCCCGACAAACAAGAAACCGTTCAATATGGTGCTTGTCCACTTGGACAACACCAAAGAGGCAAAAGCCATTTTTAATATACACACGGTCTGCTACCTGTCCGGCTTACAGGTAGAGCTCCCCCGCGGCCGTAGCATCCCTGGGCAGTGTCATCGCTGCCAATGCTACGGCCATTCCGCTAGATTTTGTTACGCACGCCCGAGATGCATGAAATGCCTAGGCGACCACGCGACGGTCGAGTGTTCCGATGGTGTTTGTGTTACGTGTCAACAAGTTACAGAAGAGGTCAGAAGATCGACGTGTCCGGCGTCGATAGAAGTATCAGGAAAAGGGTAGCAGTCACCGTCGTTTAGTCGCCGTTGTCCTGCCACCCTCATAAGGTATTTACACAGTCGTTAGGGGTTAGGGAAATAGGTACACCCCTGTTACCTAATAACAGGGTCTAGATTAGAATCAAATAGATTACACACCTCCCTGCCTTGCAGGGAGGACTCCCCTTAAGTCCGTCGAACATCATGGGTGACCATATTTCGGGCCGTGCAGAGGCCCTATTAGCGTTCATTATCAAAAAATATCCAGATGCGTACAAGGAGTTCACCGAGGTGAACCCTGAAGTAAACCCCACCGTTTTCGACACGGACAGCCCCGCCTCACCGGACTATCCAAAAAGCAATCCATGTGACCAGTGGCGGCTGGTGGGTTATCGAACTGGTGGTTCACTTTACTAAAATATTGACAAAAACAACAATTGACATAAAATATGTTTATTTTTTGTACATTAATTCATAACTATATCCAACTCTGATACAAAGTCTATTAATCCACGAAACACTCCAGCATTACTGGACTCAATAGTTTCATCGTGACCTCGCAAAGCTAACTCAAATGCACCACAAAACTTGACACAATCGATAAGACGTGATAAAATGTATCTGTTTTTATCAACTTGTTTATTATACTTTTGGATATTACTTCTATACACAGAATCTAGCTGATTACGAATATCGACTGTGCCTAACACAGACAAACTCATTACATTTTGTAGGTGTACTTGTGAAGAATCGTGTTTTTTATTTTTTCACTTAAATGCGTCACCCAAATCCTTGATTCCAGTTTCTGTCCAAATCGATTCTCCGCCAAAAATAATGCAAGAAAAACAAAAGAATGCATTAAGACGCTCACATCCACACAACCATTTCTTTCTATTATACATTTCACTTTTAAAACTTCGTATAAATGCTTTACTTTTCGATTTACACTCTTGTTTTAAATTTAAAAAGGGCCGTGGCGGCCCGGCCAATTTTATGTTCACTTTACTTTGAAAAATTTTGTTATTTTCTTTAATATAATCAATATTTATACTCATTTTCAACTAATAAAAAACACAGTACAGAATAAAAGTTCTATTATAGAAACGAAATAAAAACTAAAACGAATTACGGAAATAATTATAAACAATAACGAATTAACGCGTCACGCATACAGTGAAAGTTGAAACAATACCAATAACGATTAACGAAATGTCAATCATAGCACCCATCCTTTCGGCCGGCCCCTTGCCGGCCGGCTCAATACGTCATACATCGGGTGCTCTCGGTAACCTTCGGCCGCTTCGTGCGGCGCGCGAGAACCGACTCGTTACTCGGTACATTTCTATGAACTATCTTTTGTCTCACGCGCCAGGCGTATTAATGCGTGTCTCATACAAGATGTATTGGCAGTCCTCGTGCACTCGCCGGAGCGCACGTATGAGTTTAGTAAAGCGCTCAAACTTTTTGACCATAATTGGAAATTAAATTTTTTATACCTTTTTGTATGTTTAAAAAATAAATATTAAAATGGTAATTTAAAAATTAAGATGACATAATATTTTGTAATTTTTAAATATTTTGAATTGGTGGTTCAGCGCACGGGCGCACTTAAGGTACAGCCGCCACTGCATGTGACATGGATTGCTCGCCAATCGGCTCGGAAGCCGACTCAGACACGACGCCGTCCTCCTCGGACACAGAGGAGGATAACGACGGGTTCAAACCCGTCCTTACCAAATCTGGTAAGAGGAAGGCGGCAAAATCACTAAAGGCGCCGCCGCCAAACAAAAAACCATCGACCCCAGCAGCTGCCGGTGCAGCTGCGCACGTACCTGCGGGCACACCTGTGTCCGCTCCTGCGGGTCTACCTGGGTCCGCACCCAAAGCATTTACAAAATACCCGCCGCCGTTATACATTAGAACCAATAAGAGCTGGAACGCCATATCCAGCCTCTTAAACGACAAAAAGATAAAATACGTGTCGGCACGTAATACTCAGGCGGGAATTAAGGTCACCGCGGCCACACCGAATGACCATCGCGCGTTATCCGCGATGCTTAGACTACAAAAATTAGAATACCACACCTACGCCCTCCCGGAGGAGCGTAGGCTAACAGTCGTCATCAAGGGTCTCCCCGCGGAGATTCCCATTGATGAAATAAAAGAGGACCTTAAGTCCCAAAACCTGCCAGTTTTAGAGGTGCATTGTATGCACCGACCAAATAAAAACCCGTTCGATATGGTGCTAGTCCACCTATCACTAACCCCGGAGGGTAAGAAAATATTCAACATCGCATCAGTTTGTCATCTTTCCGGACTGACTATAGAACCACCGCGGAACCGCGGAGCCCCGGGGCAATGTCACCGTTGCCAACTTTACGGGCACTCGCAGAGGTTCTGTTACGCACGCCCGCGCTGCGTAAAGTGCCTAGGCGACCACGCCACAACAGACTGCACGAGGGATGCGGCTACGGTGGAATCGCCCAGCCGCGTCTTGTGCGGACAGAGACGGCTCCGGAGGAGAACCTAGATCGGCTCATCAAGGAGCATTTCGCCATAGAGTCGTTTGGGGTACAACCGCGTCGACCTACAACCGACGCGGAGGGCAAGGCGCGCCAGATATTAGAAAGTACCACCAAGCAGCTGAGAGATGGTCGTTTCGAAACTGGCCTCCTGTGGCGGAACGAAGATGAGCCGACTCCGGATAACCTGAGGTCAACAGAAAACCGGCTGCGCCACATTGAAAGGAAGCTGGACAGGGACCCGAAGCTCAAAGCGGAATACGGGAGGCAAGTCCAGCACCTGCTGGACAGCGGGTACGCCGACGAGGTTCCGGAAGACGGCGGCTCGGCGAGAAGATGGTATCTGCCGCATTTTGCCGTGACCCATCCCACAAAAAGAAGATTAGACCGGTCTTTGACGCCGCTGCGAAGTTCAACGGGAAAAGTTTGAATGATATATTATGGCCAGAGCACAGGAAATTCAAGACGTCTATCACCGGGGAGGAAAAAGAAGCCAAGCACCTCGTGGCCGTCGTTTCACCTAGCAGCCTTCCCACACCTGACCCGGTGAGATTCTCCCGGTGGGTAAGGCTCCTACGGGCAACCGCGAGGGTGCTTCAATTCGTTTTCAACTGTGCCGCAGGGAAAGGACTCTAAGCACACGATCCAGCGACCCGGTGTGGACAAAGAAACACAATAAAAAGAAAACGAAGGCACAGCACTCAGCTCCACTCGCAATAAAGGAGCGGTACCGTCCCCTGGAGCCCGAATGGCTAAAAAAGGGGGAAGAATTGCTACTACGAAGAAGCCAAGAATGATTCAAAGAGGAAAGAAAGGCTGTGGAGAGCCAGCAACCCCTAGACCGGAAGAGCAAACTTAAACGGCTGGATATCGCCGTGAACGATGGGCTTATAAGGATCCGCGGCAGGATCGACGCCGCCGAAGAACTCGACCGCGATCTCAGGCAGCCAGTAGTGTTAGACGCGAAAGATGACATTACGAAGTTGATCCTGACCCATTACCACGATAAGTTCAATCACGGTAACCACGCTACCGTGATGAACGAAGTAAGGAGAAGGTTTTGGGTCCTGGGCCTGAGATCAGCGGTGCGAGCGATAGCCCATCGGTGCCAGTGGTGTCTAGTACGTAAGGGCACTCCGAAGACCCCACCCACGGGAGATCTACCGCGGGAACGGCTCCGATACGGCGAGCCACCTTTCACTTGTACCGCGGTGGATTATTTCGACCCAATGACGGTCACCGTGGGGAGGAGAAACGAGAAGCGGGGGGGGGGATTGTTCACTTGCCTCACCACCAGAGCGATTCATTTAGAGTTGGTCGCCTCATTATCGGCCGACTCGATGACACTGGCGCTCAGAAGGATGACGGCCCGCCGGGGTTGGCCCAAGGTTATGTTTAGTGACAACGGGACCAATTTCGTGCGGGCTAACAAAGAAGTTATCGAGGCGCTCGGAGCGGAAGCACAATTGAAGGGCGTCAGGTGGAAGTTCATACCACCTGGTGCCCCGAACATGGGAGGCGCGTGGGAGCGTCTGGTGGCCTCCGTGAAGACGGCCCTCTCCGCGACGTTGAAAGAAAGGAAACCAAGGGAAGAAGTTTTGCATTCCTTGCTTTTGGAGGCCGTGCATATAATAAACTCGCGGCCACTAATAGAAGTAGATGACCACAAGGAAGAGTCTCTGACCCCGAACCATTTCCTGATTGGGAGGTCTTGCGGGGCGCCGACGATGGGAACATTCACTGAAGACGAGGTCAAGGGTAGGACCTGGAAAGCAGCGCAACATTTAGCGGACCACTTCTGGGCGAGGTGGATGAAAGAATACCTCCCTACTCTTGTTCCTCGTCGAATTGGAGGCGGCGCCGACACCGCAGATCTTCAGCAGGGGGACGTGGTCATCGTTGTGGACTTGACGCTACCAAGAAACTCGTGGCCGCGAGGAGAAGTGATAAGGGTTTACCCAGGCCCCGACGGGCGAACGCGCGTAGTAGACGTGCGCACCTCCACTGGCCTTATAAAAAGGCCGAGCTCGAAGATTGTAAGGCTGGTGAGCCAGCCCACCGTTGAAGACAAGATCGCCGAGCAGCAGCGCGGCGGTCCGGAACAGCTTCGCGTCGCCGGACAAGAGGATGGTGCGAAGCACGAGGGGGCGTATTTCGGCGACGCAGCTAATATTTAGTAGATAATTAGATTTAAATATAAGAGATGTAAATATTAAGGAAATTAGGTTAATTTTTATATAGAAATTGTATGTTTAATAAATAAAAGACTGTACGGAAAGCGACTCTTGTAAGAGCGCATCATGTTAATTGTAAATGTACACGTATAACTATGAATATATCTATTGTTGTAAACTAAATGCGAACCTATTGAACAATAAACGTACGGCGGTAGAGTCACTTGGAAGGGGCGGGGCATTCGCGCTGACTCACAGCGGTGCTAGGTGCGCGCGCGCAACGCGTATAGAACACGGCCGCTGTGAGTCGAAAAGTAATCTTAATCTTTACCAGAAGCAATCGAGTAGGCATCCCCTACAGAAAGGTCTCACTTTACGATAGTCCCATTCCTTGGCAAAAAAGAGCCAAATATCTGGGGGTTACTCTAGATAGTTATTTCAGCTTTAATCCCCACATTCGAACTGTCAGAAATAGGGCATCCTTCATCTTAGGTCGCCTATACCCCCTTATCTGCAGAAAAAGTAAACTGTCCCTTAGAAATAAGGTCACACTTTACAAGACCTGCATACTTCCCGTTATGTCATACGCAAGCGCATGCTTCGCCCATGTCCGGCCCTCAGCCATTAATAAACTGCAAGTAGTGCAAAATAGATTCATGCGCATAGCCACAGGCGCACCCTGGTACCTCAGGAACTCAGATCTTCATAGGGACCTCCAACTTCCTACGATAGCTGCGCACATCAAGATGATCTCAAAGAGATTCTTCGATACCGCGTCAATTCATCCGAACCCGCTAGTAATCCAAGCGTCTAAATATTCCCCGTCACCCAACTCCAAATTAGGTAAGAGGCGTCTCAAAGACGTCCTCTTAGACCCTGACGACCAGATCACGACAGACAATACGAACAATAATCCCAACAACACACCAGACATCAGAAACACACACCGCCTTCGCCGGCGAAGGCGAGGTCCCGTTTCATACACGTCACTCCGGCGTTCTGCCGTCGGGGGGCGTCATGTATTCAATCAACCCACTAATACCTCCACGACAACGACGTCCTAAGCCGAGGTCCGGCCTCCTAGAGGCACCCTTGGGACGGGCGTATCCCTGGTCGGGCCCTTCGGGCCCGAATTAAATCGGATCCGTCCCATCAGGACCACCCACCCCTCTCGGTGACGCTGTCAAAGCCACTAGGGCCAACAGCATATGTCAATTCGAAGAAAAAAAAAATAAAAAAAAATCGAAAAGTCAGTCATCAGCCAGCTCTCGCGATTACAACAACTCCTACGCTTTGAAGAACCCGAACTGTGAAGAACCCGAACATTGAAGAACCGAACTTAAAGATAGTGACTAGGGCCCACGTGGTCATTTAAACCAAGTGATTCTGTCGCCATTACTAGTAAGTTGTGGTTTCATTGTGAACGGCGATACGACCCGCCTCGAACCCTGATCCCGAGGATCGGATCACCGGCCGCCTACTATCGAAGGAATTAATATCAGATCCGATCCACCCCTCAAGCGGCGAACGATTCCGATTGTAACAATCGGACATCCCGACCGCAACAACACCTCAGTCATCTACACTACAAACATCCGTTTTAGAATTAGCCTTCATTAAATATTTTAATATTGTTATCAGTCTTAACACGTGGCGTCCTATACAAAGACTCGTTTAAATATCATTTAATTTACTTGTTTTACAATTACCTTTATATGTATTTTAACACAAACATGTATGTAAAGAGATATAAGATTGTCGCGAGTCTTATTCATTTAAATAAACATGTATTTCATGATCGATGGACAGACCGTAAAGTGTTAACATACGACGGTAGTGAAACTATGAGTACTTTGATTGTGGAAGATGTTTCTGTAGGAGAGCTCTATACAAATGTATACAACAAACATGTATACTTTGAACACTTCATTAAGTGGCCTGGTTTTAAACAATCAATAAGTAAAGCAGTCTATCTTATTCACCACTCTTATATCTCTCGTCGTTACTAACTTCTATTCTGCATACTTCAATGAACTGATACGACTTGATAATGTTAACGGTTGTTAGACATTAATAACAACTCAAGATGTGCAAATATAAAATACATAGTTTTAAATAAATTAAAATTAATTATCTTTCTATGTATACGTACACACACATTATTACACTAACCGAGTCATTCTCCTCTTCATATAATTCTATGTTTCATCAATACTTGGTTCATTGTTAGTTTTCATCTAACACTTGATGATCAGCCGTCATCTCCTGATGGATGAATCTCAAGTACAGTCCAATAACACCATCTGTAATACATAATACAATATTGTTCTTATATAAAGACATACAAAGACAGACACTACAAGGATTGGCTTAAATAAATAATTAAATGTTTAAAAAATTTACAAAAATACTCGCTTATAAAATAGCAATCTAATGTTTGGAGGAGGTGCTCTCAAAGGTGCAGGAACCAAACCGTAAATGACTTAATGGCTAAGGAATCGAAGGTTAATAGGAGAACACTCACCAGCAGCACCAGATCCGCTGTGTGGCAGATTGAGTATGGAGTCAGTGACAGTATGGAGTCCGGAGCAATCAGCAAGGAAGAGCAAAAAGACGAGCTCCTGGTCGGCGGAACTCCTGAAATAGAATAACAATACAATGTAGTCATTTAAATAACAATGAATGACCAAACATTAAATATACTTAATGTTAAATTCAATATTAAAAATGTCAAAATGTTAAATGTTAGAATGCTAAAATGAAATATGTTAAAATGTAATATGCTAAATGTAAAATGTTTAAATGTCAATGTTTAAATCTATACTAATATTATAAAGCTGAAGAGTTTGTTTGTTTGTTTGAAAGCGCTAATCTCCGAAACTACTGGTTCGAATTGAATAATTCTTTTTGTGGTGGATAGTCCAGTTATCGAGGAAGGCTGTGGGCTATATAACATCACGCTACGACCAATAGGAGCAAAGATATAGTGGTAAATGTGTAAAAAAAAACGGGAGAAATTATTTCATCTTTCAAGCCTTCCGTTGCGTGCGCCGTGAAAACGGTTCAAGATACACAAAAAATATGTATTAAAGAATAATAGCTCTTTTAATGATCTAAAAAAACAGTCCGCGACAGTATATGTCTATATTTTAAGATTAACTCACAAAAACCGTTTTTATGGTACCTAATTTTGTCGAAATAATTTGTTTAAGTTGTATCAACATAATAATATTAATCTTTATTCAAATAAACAAATAAATATGTTGTTGGTTAAGAGCACTTCATTATTAATAAAAAAAAACAGGTTTTATCCTGAAAATTCTACGGGAACTCGACCATTCCGAAAACCCCGCTAGAACGGGAACTATGTGGTAAAAAACAAAAATTTGTCGGAAGTCACTATTCCACGCGGACGAAGCCGCGGCAAAAGCTAGTGTTAAATATGTCGTTACATAAATTTAATGTAAAAATTAAGATAAATGTAAAATGTAAATAGGATAAGGGCAAATAATTGTAAATAGTGAAAAATTAAAAATAAATTGTAAAATAGAAGTCTCGCAATTGATAAAAGTAAACTGGAAACGTATGAAAAGTCATCAAGGACAATGTAATAAGAAATAAAAGATGAAAATAGTATAATAGAATATAAGTCAGGAACACAATAGGAAAGGTATAACCTAGGAATGAAAGAGATGTATGACAGAAAGATAGTATGAGGAATGAAAGGCCCTAGCGAAAGATAGAACTAGCATGAAAGTGTCGAAGAACAAAGGTCTCTGACCACGTCAGAGGGACTAGCATACAAAAAAAAATTAAAAAAAGTACCAAACTAAAAAGATCTAAATTTTTATAATTCAGATTAAAAATATTATGATCAAAAAAGGGATTCTTTTGGTGTTAAAGTTCGCGGAGTGCTAGATATTACTATTCTGTTAAACCGTACAAATATTATAAATGCGAAAATAACTCTGTCTGTCTGTCTGTCTGTCTGTTACGCTTTCACGCCTAAACCACTGAACTGATTTTAATGAAATTTGGTACGGATATAGAGTTGACCTTGAGAAAGAACTAGGATAGTTTTTTATCCCAGACTTTTGAAAAGTTCTCTTGGAAACGCGATATAACCGTACTCGACGCGGGTGAAGCCGCGGGCGGAAAGCTAGTTAAGCCATATAAGGCGGATGTGTACTATGTTGGTACACGTGAGCAATTCTCTTCCTTTTAGGCTCAAATACGTACTCTTTCCCACGGTGTACACTCGCCTCTCAGGACTTGATATTTATAAGTGTACTGTTATATTCTAAAATCTAAAGATACATCGCGCCTTTTTAAATTAAGTTAATTTCTTTCATTTACTATTCCTCTTTAATATAAATTATTTAATAAAAACAACTTTGTAGTTTAGTATTTCATAACACTGTTTTTTACATTAATTTATTTTCCATGTTTTTATTTTGCTAACAACAGATATGTTGTCCTTTTTTGTATCATGAATTGCATGATTTCTATAAGCGATAGCAATTATTTTCCAAATCCCTCTTAATATTATAAATGGGTAACTGTCTGTCTATCTGTATGTTACGAGTACGTTTTCACGACTAAGCCGCTGAACCGATTGTGATGAATTTTGTATGAAGATAGATGATACTGATTACACGATCCCAACATTTCGCGGGTGGAACCATGAAGTGGAAGCAGTTCAGGTTCAGTGGCCTTAGTGATAGAGAACAACTCATGTCCACGCGGACGGAGCCGCGGGGAAAAGATAGTTATTATTATAATTACTATTATTTATTTCAGGAAAAAAGTTACAAACATACAAACCAACATACAAGTAAAGCTAAGAAACAAGCGTTAGAAATATTTTCTGTAAATCAGTAAGCCATAACGTATGGATGTGTTGGAGACAATCGAATAACAATAAGGAGCTACTTAAAATACTTAGTATTGTGAATTATTTAAGTTTATATTAAACAGTTAGTGAGGTTACTTTTAATTTGAAA